GCACGCACGCACGCACGCACGCACGCACACACACACACACACACACACACACACACACACACACACACACACACACACACCTGTTTGTTAAGTTTGTAATCTGCGAGCAGGTGCATGTACTTGATGCGGTTGGCCTCCGTAACAAGAATGTCCCGACCATCAGGTACCAGATCCTCAATCTGCCAAGAGAGCAAAGAAATATATATTTTCAGCACGATTTTCACTCTCTCTACCTTCTTATTACCGTAATTCATCTTATTACCTTACAGGTAATCTGCTACTCCCTCTGCCTGCCTGTCATACCGTGGTTTTTCGTTTCTAGTTTCCGATTCTCCTGCCTCCCTCACACAAATTTCCCTAGCCNCTCTCTCTCTCTCTCTCTCTCTCTCTCTCTCTCTCTCTATTCTTCATACTTCTCTTACCCTGGTTTCCCCCAGCTCATCATTGACGACGGTGAAGTCCAGTCCGAGGTCTGCCACATCCCCCTCACACGTCTTCAAGTAGAGAAGATTCCTACAAGAACGCAGCAGATGTATAACATAGCTGCCCCCCTACTACACCTCTCACAACACACACACAGATACAGAAGGTTCCTACAAGAACGCAGCAGATGTATAACATAGCTGCCCCCCTACTACACCTCTCACAACACACACACAGATACAGAAGGTTCCTACAAGAACGCAGCAGATGCAATAACGTAAGGTAACGTCAAGGACGTGTGACGGCTTGAGGTAAGCTCAGAGGTCACATAAAGGTGTGGGGTCATATATCTAATGTCAGAGGTGACATAATGGCGCGAGGCAGCCAATCTAAGGTCAGGGGTCACATGATAGCCTGAGGTCGCGTATCTAAGGTCAGGGGTCGCAGATCTAACATCAGCGGGGTAACATACTTGTACATGAGCGGGTCGAGCGAGGCGAGGTGAGTAACTAAGGTCAGAGGTCAGAGGTCACGTACTTGTACATGAGTGGGTCGAGCGAGGCGAGATGGTTGATGTCGACGTCCGAC